GATCACGTTTTTTTTTTACTTAAGCAACCATTTTCTTTTTTTTCAGCTCTATACATCCCTCCAGGTTTACTCATTTAAATAAGAAGAGTGCAAAGCGATTTGTATGTGCATTAAAAAACATTGTTTTTGTTCATTGTTTTTCTTTGTTGTCCTTGTTCTGTAAATGATGGTAGTCCTTGCTATGCTTAATTTCCTTAAAATCTATACGACCTAAAGCTTATGTAAGTTATTCAAGTTATATAATTTTCTTATATCTATTTAAGTTATATATATTTTTTTATACTGCATGTCATATAACAATTACATCACAAAGGCATGTAATAATAACAATAATGCATTTTATTTATAAGCGCCTTTCAAGAGACACAAGGACACTGTACAACAATCAACATTTAAAAAACAACGATGGATAAAATCAGCATACAATAAAAGAAATGAAATGTAGGACAGTGTAATTACAGTTCAAATGTTAGAGTGAGTAGGAGATCTTGAACAGATGGGTTTTGAGTCTGGATTTGAAGATGGGAGTCAATGTTGCGTATGTCAGGTGACAGAGAGTTGCAGAGCTGGGGAGCAGAGCCCCTGAAAGCTCTGCCCCCCCGTGGTGCTGAGGCGGGCAGAGGGCACAGTGAGATGGATGGAGGAGGAGGATCTGAGGGAGCAGGCTGGAGTGGTGATGTGAAGGAGGTCAGGGGCGAGGTTGTGGATGGCCTTGAAGGTGTACAGGAGGAGTTTGAAAATGATTCTTTGCTTCACCGGGAGCCAGGGGGCTGCTGTAGGATGGGGATGATGTGATGGTATGAGGGGGTTTTGGTGACAATACGGACAGCAGAGTTTTGAACCAGTTGGAGCTTATGGAGGGACTTATGAGGGAGGCCGAAGAGAAGAGAATTACAATAATCAATACGGGAGGTGACGAGGCTGTGGACAAGGATGGAGGCAGTATGGGGGGTGAGGGAGGGGCGGAGACGGTTGATGTTTTGTAAGTGGAAGTATGCAGACCGGGTAATGTTATTGATATGGGATTTGAATGATAGTGTGCTGTCGAGGATGACACCCAGACTCTTAACCTGAGGGGAAGGGGAAACTGAGGAGCTGTCAATAGTGAGGGAGAAACTGCCAACTTTGGATAATATGGATTTAGCGCCGACGAGAAGGATCTCGGTTTTATCACTGTTTAATTTAAGGAAGTTTGAGGAGAACCAGGATTTTATTTCAGATAAACAAGAAGTGAGGGAGGAGGGTGGAAGTGTGGAGTTTGGTTTACTGGAGAGGTAGAGCTGGGTGTCATCCGCGAAGCAGTGGAAAAGTATATTGAATTTACGGAAAATATTGCCAAGGGGGAGATGTACAACTTAATGACCCCAAAGATAGATTAGACAGAGTCTTTAATGTTTTTCATGTAAAAAAGTGCAAGTGTTGCCTGACTGTATATTTCATATTACAGCTATCTTACTACATTTCATGCTGGGTTTTGATCCCTGCGGTTTGAAATGAGGGATGTTTGTGTGAATATAGGATTAATATCAGTATTTGAGGAAATTGATGCTTTGTAATGTTTGTTTCAGTATTGTTCATATAACCTTGTTTATCCTGCAGCTAACCATTTCTTTTGTTAAGTAACAGTAGGCCTACTTTTGCTGATGAAGCTACATCAACAGAAAGCAGACGGCGAGGCGTGGCACTGGCAAAAAAGGCCAGAAGAAATTTGATGTTTTAAGCCTGTGGCTTTAAAGTAACATCCACCGTGATCTCCTGCACAACACCAAAAAATACTAGAACAAATTACAGACGTTTCTGAGGCCGCAGGAAACAGTCCACCTCTTTCTCCTCCAATCTCTGGTGAACTGCGGGGTGATGGATGGGGTTGTGGTTAATCCAGAGAGTGTCATATAATATTTGCAAAGGCTAAACAAATGAGACAATTTGGTCTTCAATTGGAAATGCATCTAAAAATCCAGATCACCAACATATTCATTACAATTACATTCTTAGGACTTATCTCACTCCAAGGAAGGCTTATCTCATGAAATGTTTAATATCTCCAAACTTCACTTTGTGCACAGATGGACTTTTGGGTTCCTTCATGAATATGTGTTGGGAATTTAGGGGTGGGAATGTTTTTTTTTGTTTTTGGGGGGGGGCTGTTGGGTGGCGGGGGGGTGTCTGACATTTGGGCTTTTATGCCTGATGTTCTGGTATTTCAGTGCCATGCTGTCCCACACTGGTAATATTGAATGATACAGCTTCATTAAAATTGTATGGATTGACGTTTTTATACGAACAGGCATCACTGCTGCCATAAAGACGCTATCTTTATGTCGCAAGGCTCCACAGACAGTCTTACTAAATCGATGGTTAAAAACACATTTAGTGATATCATTAATATTGAACTAACTGTGGCAATTATGCATGGGGCTGGAGTGGAGGTTATTACAGCTTTGCACGTGATGTTAGGTTTAACTTTTTTTTTTGTTGTTGTGTATGCCTACACGTGAGCAAAGACTATTTCAATAAAAAAAAAAAAAGATCACAAAAAGACTGAACAAGCAGATTGTCACTTGGAGTTTGAGAATAATTAACACAATGCATGCACAAGTGTCGATGTGTTTACCTTTGTGTACAGGAATATGTTGAAGAGACAACGGCATAGCAGCTTTCATTGTGTGACAAACCTGTCACCATCGCAAACAAATCTGCAGATTGACTTACTGACATTACTGGCAGATTGACTTACTGACTTATAGAATCATTTGAATGATGAATCCAAATGGAAAAAGGATTGGGATTTCTGAAGACTGAGGAGGTGAAGTATCTCATTATCTTTTGGCTGGATGGAAAAATGTATATGTAACATACAATAAAACTGATCTATACTAAGCTCACATATGACTGCATTGATTCTTAGCTATACTTGAAATGTATAGGGATTAAAATGGTAACCAGTCCTGTGATTGATTGGAGAACAGTCCAGGGTGTACCCCGTCTCTCGCCCAATGACGGCTGGGTTCGGATCCGATTTCAGACTTCTATAAGCTTTACCATTTACTCCGTGTTTTTGAGGTCTATCGACCAGTTTGCCATTTGTAACACTCAATTTCTTCTCATCTTAATGGAAGCCTCTTAACACTGTTTGAGATTTACATTATTCATCAATCTCCTTGTCTAATGCTCAAGTATGTTACCACAACCTTTTAACTGGAAATGAAGTGTAATCCTGTCATTAGTGCATTAGGACTAATGGATATGGATTAGATTATTATTTCATTTCCAGGATCTCGCTCCCTAAAGAGAAGTTGAAAACATCCTTCCCCTCAAAAAGAAGGAAGGGTGCTGGACTGTTAAGAAAAACTAATCTGAAAATGCACAAAACATAATTTGATGAAGTAGAGATGTTCAGTCCCTCTTATCTCTCCACTCAATCACATATTATGTAAGAGAAACCAGATAGAAGAAAGAATATTCGGATGAGCAAGAACCTAACAAAACAAACCAGTTTGCCTAAATCAGGTTAGCTTCTCCACAGGTACAGGAAGCAAAAATCTGACTCTCATGCCACAAATAAATCAACGAATGATTAACACTGAACAAGCTTACAAACCAGATATACTGAGTGCAGCTAGACACAGCGACCTGCTTATCAACTCTAACATAGAAATGAAGTTATTGTGCTTTATGCTATAAATAAAAATAAAATAAATAAATTATACTTTCTATCACTCTACCTGTTAACATCTATAATTATGTAACGATTAAAATACTATAATATTATTATTAAAATAATAATATACAAGAGCATGATTGAAAAATTCTCCTCTGTACATCTGTTATGATTAAAGAAATGATCCATTGTCCTATCATTTTGTGGACAATAAATCATAAAAATAAAATCTCATTACTTACCCATCAATGCATACACGGCAATGACCCTCCATACCTTAAAGAACTGCTCACCCCACAAACTCGCACAGGACACCTCCGATCTGCCGCCACCAACTGCCTCCACACCCCCCAGGACTAAGCTCTGCTCTATGGGGGACAGAGCCTTCTCTTCCTGCTAATCTGAAGACTCCACAGACAGTGGACTCCTTCAAAAAGGACCTGAAAACTCTCCTCTTTAGAGAACCTTTTCCTAAAAACCATTTCCAAATCTAAAGTGCTTTATAAATAAAATGTATTATCATTATTATTGTTGTTTTCACTATGTGTGTGTGTGTGTGTGTGTGTGTGTGTTGTAAATTTAAACATTTTAAAATGAGGTTCTATGGGGATTGACTCACATTTGTACAACTGCAGTTTGTGACTCTTGGGGCATCGTAAATATTTCAGCTTTGGCTGTTGCAGCTTTGTCATAATGAGTTATGGAGGTGCTAGTATGTGGATTTTATTTATTTTTGACAGAGCCTGGCAAACTGATCCGCTTGTTTACAGTCTCCACGAGCCTGTATAAGACAGACAAAACAACACAACCCTGGAAGTGTAGCCAAAAAATGTAGAGGGTTGCATTGGGAGCGAGATCCCGTATGGCTCAATGCAAATCTTGCTGGAGCGGGCGGTTTTATTGTTTCTGCAGACGGGAGGCAAAAAAATATATCACTGCAGGCCCCGGATGGTCCACTATGTGCATACAATGATGGAATCAACAAATGAGGGGGAAAAGGAGATCAAAGTTGTTTTTTAGAGCACAAAGACAAAGCAAGGCATGTCCGACAAATTCCTAATTTAAAAATGAGAAAGTAACAACGATGCAACAAAGAGAATAACTTCTGCAACGGGTGCAAATCTTGCATGCCTGGTTGAATTTAATTAATTAAAACTTTAGCTCTGACAGAAGATGGCAATTGATAAAACAAAGAAATAATCCCTCTTCCTCTGCATTGCAGTGACATTTATGGGAAGCAGTCTATTATCAGACCGATCAAATAATGCAACGGAAACGAAGCATCAGTTTAAAAGAGTCAAATGCCATCAGGCTAACAGATCTAAATCTTCTGCAAGGGTTTATTACTCCACTTAGATGTGAGCATTGACCCATCAGGGTTCTTTTATTTGTCTCCCTACACATTTCTAAACAGACTTGTTTTGTCTGATCTCCAACTTCCTTTTTTTCATGAGAAACTTTTAATGGAGAAGTTATTAATAAACTCTCATGGTTCATAGTTTACAAAAACACCATGTTCTTTAGTGAATTACTCATCATCTTCTTCATCAAACTGCGTCAAGTGGTATCAAAACTCGGGAAATGTTTTTTTTCTGCACCTGATCGAAACACACAGAAGCGCATGTTACAAGCATCACCTTCTGTATTATCAAGTTAATACTAATAACCATTACAGTTCACGTCATTCAGTCCAAACCATATACTCTCTGTTTACACGTTACACATCAAAACATCGTCCTCATAATAACCCAGACAAACTAGCAAATATCATTCATCAGCAGTCAGAGAGGAACATTAGTATTACATTTCATACAAAGTAGGCTAAAGCTGTGCTCCAGCAGAACCGGCTCATTCTGGGACTGGTAACTCTCAATGACAGGTGCAATACAGCTGAGTGGAGCCAAGTCTGTTATAGAAAAAAAGGTGAGGTGGGTTCATGGATTTCAGTTTGTTCGAGACATCGTGGCACGGCTGTTGCTGGGTTTGTGTTTTTGATGTTTCTAAAGAAAAAGTGGCATGTGCTGCTCCCATTTCCCTTTACTCTGTGAGGAAATGTTTCCTATCTGGGGCCCGTCATGCAGCAGGTGAAATATTAAGTCGTAGAGAAGTTGTCGTCCTTTGCAGCTGTTGTGAGGACGCACCTACACAACGGTCACAATGTGCTTGTTGAGGTCCTGGTTTCAAAAATGTCTTGAACACAGAAGTCCGAGACAAATGTGTCCTCTGTTTTCCCCACATAACCCTTCGTCTCCTCTGCGAGCACTGTTCATTACGTTACATGAGAAATGAACATTTTACGTGTACTGTACATTAACCAAGGCACTAGCTAACTTTTCAGGGAGCAGGTTTTGCTCATTACGAGGAAAAAGTCATGAAAAATGCAGCTGGAAACCTGCACTATTTAACAGGAGGAGAAAGAAACATAAAGGCTGGTCGGTCATTATGAGGCTACAAAAAGCATGACTCTGTCTCACCTGGATTACTTTACGTTAACCATGATATATTAAAATTTAAGAAAAAGTGCTGGGCAAAATTTTGTCCAGTTATTTTGACAGTCAGAGAGGACAACATGACTTCAGACGCATCGTTTGTGTTTTCCCTGGTCAGGCATCATCGTCCATACAAGGTATGTCTGGGTCAGAAAAACGTCTCTGGCCCTGTGGGGCCTGTGTGCCGTGATGCTGGTGTTGAGGAGCAGGTGTTACATTAGCGATGGAGGACGAGGAGGAGGAAGTGGATGGAGGGCAGGAGGAAAAATGCAACAACAGGTCACTCTTCATGCTGTCGATGTACAGGGACTGGGTGCTGTCTTTGCGGCGACCCGGCTGCTCTCTCCTTCTGACCGAGTACTGTGATGTTCGACTTCCAGGAGAGTGAGCCGGACTCGAGGATGTGGGCTGGGAGAGGATACCGGGGGGGAGTTTAACTGTGTCTGGGATGATGGGGTTGCGGCGTTGCAGTGGGTGCCTGATAGAGGCGTTGGAGGATTCTGAGGTTAAAGAAGTGCAGCTGATCAAAGAAGAGGTGGAGCTACTAGGGGTGAGGTTCGGCAGAGACACACGTCCACCGAGGACTTTGTGGCGCTGGGACAGGTCTGGTGGTTTGGGTGGACAAGCCGGCCTTAATCTTCTCCTCTGGGAGCCAGCTCTTCCTGGAAGAGATGGAAGAAAGAGGAATATTTTTCTCAGACATGTTTCCCTCAAAGCTTGTCATTCATTGCACACAATCCAAGAGAGGGTGAAGACCAATGGAAGATCATGCAACCATGTTATCTACAAAACTTCTGCTCAGTGAGGCACAACTAGTTTAACGTTTGATCAAAAGGTTTCATGCCAATTCTTCAGTGATGTAATTTGGATAAAATGTCAGCATGCTTTTGTTACACACATGCATAGGTGTGCAGATATATCCACACAAACAGACAAACACAAAAAAACAAACAAACACGGTTGCTGTTCCTCCGACCTGCTTTGTTACAGAGCAGACGTCACCGCCCCCATCACCATCACTGGTCCAGACCTGCACCACAAAACACAGGAAGGGCCAAACCCAGCGGCCCCGTGGTCTGGTCAGAAACCCACAGGTGAGTGAGAGAAAAAGGTAGAAGGAAAGAGAAGAGGAACTGTACCTCAATACTGACCTTCAGACTCCGAGCAGTGCACAGAAGCACGCTGCTGCTCATCCAGAAGACTCTCGGAGCTCAGTGAGGCCTCGGAGTCCAAGTTCTCCTGATCTGAGCCGGGCTGCTCCATCTCTGGTAGTCTGCAGGCCAGATCCTCTCTGCAGGGAGACGCATGAAAAGGACGTTTAGAGACTCGAGAGAGATGGAAAGGATGCTACATTGAGGCGAATAGACAGAAAATACTGAAAGAATGCTTACTTCTCCTGTTTGATGGACTTGATTCGCTCAACCAAGTTCTTCTCAGCCTCTGTGTCGGAGTCCAGAGGCTCGTTCTCAGGGACCACACTGAGATCTGAAGTGACCTTCTCATGCACCTGCGGAAAAGAAACCCATCACACACTGACTGAACAAAATTTCCCCCGTAAAAACGTCCACTATTTAAACCAAATCTGAAACTGGATCCAGATTTTGTTAGTAAGGAAAGAAGAGGAGGCCTGATGGAGCCTGTGGCATTCATGCATCTGCACATCATTCCTGCAGCCCCGTCTGAAAGATGCAACACTGCTCTCCAAAATAAAAATATACAGCAATACAAAAAGTGTCGACTAAAAAAATGAATTAACAGTTTCAAAAGAGTACTGGTGCTAAGGGGTGTGCAAATGCAAACAGTTCCTTTTGTGCCGTGATAAAAGTTAAAAAGACACATCACCACAATCCAGACACATCAGAGACAAAAAAAAAAAAAGCACGATATCCGATCGACTTCCACTAAAACAACTACAGGATTATGACAACACTGACCCAGAACCATCTTGTCCTCTCATCAAGAGAACATGAATAACAGCACTACAACATGCAAACTACTACCAGTTAGTGAGGACGAGTAAAAGGGATTATGCGAAGAAGGATAAAAAAAACAAAAAAACAGGCAGAGCCCCACCCACATCTAACATGCCATGCACAGCAGTTCTACATGGCACTCTATTACACAATACAACTAGAACTACCGTACTAGGAGGACTCGATGATACATACCACCACTCCTTTGTAAGGAGCTGAGCACCTGAGAGGTAAGTGCCAGAAGTGCTAAAGAAAAGAAGGAAGATCGTCCATGTTACCCATGTAACCTGAGAACAGGTACTGACACTGTCGCAACTGAATCATTCAATTAATGAAGGAGCGTTACTAACTCCTAAATCCTTCTTGAAGTACAATACTAAAAAGCTTTATTAACAAATGGACTTGTAGAGGATCAAACGTCATCCAGGTGTTAAGGCTGAGCAAAAAAGATCTCCAGACTGAAGTCTGCTGTCTCACCGTGTTCTGTCTCTTGAGTTTGAGCTGGTTTACTGCCAGAGCCTCGGCGTACTCCAGCTGCTCGATCTCTTCCATCTTCTCATTGTAGCGTCTGATCTGCTCATTGATGATCATCTCTACACACCTGAGAGGAGAGCAGCACTTGTAACATACAACTTAGAAAGCACTACTAATAAAAGATACATTGATATAATATTTTGTTAATTTTGCCTGCTCTGGCATTCTTACGTTGTTGTTTTGGCAACATCCTTCATGCTGAGCAGCGGGTCAGCGTTATCGGGGCAGCGCAGGATACACGGGGCAAACACTATGGCCAGCGAGTTCGGCGACATACGATTATGAGCCTCCTCTTTACACACCCTGCAAGACATTCATTAGTTACCATGAATTCTAGCTGCACTTACATGTAACAGAAGTTACTACTTTACTACTGAGATAACCGGAATATGTTTGTGACAAAAGACAAACAAATAATCTAGTGAGTGAAATATGTGGGCAACATGGCCCAGAAAGATTCATGTCATGATCACATCCAAATACAGATATCTCACCTGACAAGGTGGAAGACAAGTCTCTCCAATGTGTTAAAGTTTGCTGGAGGAAGCTCTTCCAGCCCTTTGTATACAGCATGAAGCTGCTCTTGCTTTTCTGGCAGTTCTATGTTAAGAACAAAGAAAACAATACATGAAGCCCTGTAGCCAACAATGATCCCTAATAATTCATTCATGCAACATATTTTATAAAAATAATTATTCATATTTTCCATTTTACATGTCAAATTATGATTTTCATTAACGATAAGTGTTGAATTAAAAAATACTGTCAACAGTCCAGTAGAAACTTCATTGTAAAAAAGAATAGAAAAAGGTCAGCACACTGGTATTATATTGTAAAATGCTGCCCCCTTGTGGGGAATGTCCTCCTCACCCACTGAATGAAGGAAGTCACTGTAATGTGTGAAGGTCATGAGTGGATCTGGCAGCTCCCTCAGCCACTGTTTCACCAGGCCAGTGACTGTGTGGATGGGATAGTCCTCGAGGCAGACCAGGTGGGGGTCTAAACAAATCAAGTGAGCAATAAAACCAATGCCATGACAGAGGTTTGGCATAATACATTGAATGTGTAAATATCAAAAAGAAGCTTTCTAACCAGTCTCCAGTCGCTGGTGCAGCTCTTTGATGCGGTTGGCAGAGCCAGACTTGCGGTAGATGCCCTCAGTGTAGAGGCCCTGCATTTCAACATGCTCCAGCATCATCTCAAGCACCATCGGTACGGGGTTCTTATCACTCACCAGGTTACTCACACGCACCCCAAAGTGCTGACCACCAGAGTCATCGTCGCTCTGTGGATTCAGGCAGATAGTAGCTGTCAGTTAGAAGTCTACTATGATATGTCTGCCACATGTGGCAACGCAATAAACATAAAGAATCAATGCCCTTTATAACAAACACAAGACTAAAGGTAATTACTATTAGTAAAAACAAACTAATTCCCACGCTTCTTTACAGCTACTTAAACAGTTTGGCTTTTGTTTTACAAGCCTGCTCTCTCAGTCAATCTTTGAATACAAACAGACTTCAAACTGCATGCTTCACACTTCAAAAACAAGGCTGAGTGTAAAAGAACAGGGAATAGCTTAAAGTAGGACAAATCCTCTCTGTTTCAGGCCCAGCCCATCTCTGAACTCCTATAAATCATGAGCATGTCATGGATCAAGGCCTGTTACTTCTAAATATAAACACCTACCTTTTTGGCACAGAAGGTTGTGCAGTCAGTGACTATTTTGCAGAGGCACTTCTTGTGGCACACCATCTTACAATCTGAACGGTTGGAAACAGAATAATGAATTAGTTCAAAATGTATTTCTTTATGATTTATTCTGATTAATGCATGTTTTATATTTAGCACACAAATAAAAAATATCCAAGAGGAGAAGACTAAGTGTGCTGGGGTGTAAACTCACAGCTGCACATGTAGGCCTTCTCCATGCCCCAGATGTAAGAGCTGCACTGGTCACATGACTGCATAATGTTGACCTGATAGTTGACAAAAATATGATCCAGAGGGCTCTCCATCTAAGAAGACAGACAGTCAGGCAATTATTCAAATATCATTCATTTCAATTAATTATTTAACAAAAAAAAAAAGAAACAAATAACATTGATGAAAATGACAGCTTTGCACACTTACACTTTTATCTTTTTTCCTTCTTTTCTTTCTAGCTTTGGCAGGCTGAAAAACACAAAGAGGGCATAAGTCTGTGTATAATACTTTAAAAACACATATGTACAAACTAGAGTGCATGATAAGGATTCTCACCTTTGCAGGCTCAGCCTCCTCCTTCTTCATCTCTCCCCTGATGAAGCCATCCAGCACCGACTGGAACAGGTTGACCACAAGTTGGACTTCTCCTTTCTGCTTTTCACCTGCCAGGTGGATCACTTTGGTCTGGTAGCTCGTCATCAGACCTTTGTAGCCAGTGGTGGGTTTCTGGTCAAGATCAGAGGAAAGGAGAGAAATTGAGGAGGAGGAAAGGATGCTGAGGAAGAACTTTGAGTCTCAAGTGATGTGTGTGTGTGTGTGTGTGTGTGTGTGTGTGTGTGTGTGTGTGTGTGTGTGTGTGTGTGTGTGTGTGTGTGTGTGTGTGTGTGTGTGTGTGTGTGTGTGTGTGTGTGTGTGTGTGTGTGTGTGTGAAGCAGGCGGACTCACTGGGAGAGAATACATGGCTTTGATATTCTCTCTGAACTGCATAGTGGCAGTTACAAAGATGGCCTCCGTCGCCGACAGCGACTTCCCCCTGGAGCGGAAATCATTCACCTAAGACAGGACGTGAACATAAATAATTTGTGAGCACAGAATAATGGATAAAATGACTTTGAGCAGTTAAACCATCCAGTCGCCTTTCATTCACCTGGTTGCCAAGAAACTCGTCGAGGAGCCGCAGCTCGTTTGCGTTGGTGATTTCACGATCCAGTGATGCGTTCCACTGCTCAGAGACCCGTGTGGCACGACTTATCTTAATGGTGGGGTTGCGGCCCAAACCTTTACCAGTTCGCTCGCCATATGCTGGCCTGACGCTGGGGCTGAAATGGAGAGAGAATGCGCTCAAGCTTACCATCATGAAGTGGAAGAAAAGGAGAATGAGTGATACTTCTATCATTTTGCGAACTATATGTAAACCTCTAACATGGAATGTAGAGTGTTAATAAGTCCCACTGAGGAAACAAAACTAAGATTAAAGTTACTCTCATAGCACTCAGTGTGATCCTGCACAGGTTACTATTTTCTCAGAAAGCACACAGCAGGATCAGCCTGAGAATATCAAAGATAGGACACCTGGGTTTTCTTTGCCTTTCTCTCTACAGAGAAAGTGGACTCAGTAACCTCAATATCTGAGGTCAACATCTGAGGTTTCTGTTAGACCAAAAAAATAACCACTCTCTCTCTATACACTTTACAGTTGTAGATAGATCCATTCACAACCAAATTACAGAAATGAAGTTAATGTAGCTGATCCAGTCAATCCTAAACGTTTTCTTAAACTTGAAAAAGACCGACTGAAAAGCCCCGTGTTTGCTCTATTTACCTTCCCCTCCAGTTGATCTCTCACTGAGACTTGAGGCAAGCGTCGTTTCTCCGTTGTCTGGAGTCTGGGCTTCCCTGTGTGGTCGTTTCTTTAAAATTTTGCTGAAGAAACCACCTGACCTGCAGGGCACAGAAACACACAATGTTCTGAGGAATATTCACAAAACAGCTGAGGGACTCCCTGTACAGCTCATGTCTTCATACAGTACTTTTTTTTTTTTTTATATATTAAGCTACATCTAACTACTTATTCATTACTAACAGAGTTTTTTTTTTTTTAGTTCCTAATAACATGCCTATTGGTAATTCACTAGATTGTCTCTTGGCAATAGACAAAACACATAACCTACTCAGTAGTCCAAACCATAGCACCAAAAGTGAATTATCAAGAATGAGGTTTTTAATAGTCGAATATTCAAGCTTTTGGCCAAGAACAAGGCTTCTGTCAGATTAAACTCTTGCCCAGAGACTGAGCCTAAGAGTTCATCTGCAACATATAAATCCAGCTGGTAAGAGGAATTTCTGAATGTGTAAAACCACACAAGAAGCTGAGCACAGTTTGATTACACAAGAGTTTTCCTATAAACAGTCTGATTCAAAGAGACATGGTAATGGGTAAAGATTGAACTGAGGATGATTTATTGTGATACAGTTTTCCTTTGAATCTTAGCATACACCAGAATGTATTTTCTACTGATGCAGCCTACTGGTGGGATTGTCCTGTGGTTTACATCCTGTCATATCCTTTTCTAACATGTATGTAAGGGTAAAAACTGTTGATGTTATTCTGCAATCCATCACACGACTGTTCATCTGAAGGCCAGAGCCGTACCTGTCTGGTGTGGATGGGATGGAGTGTGCAGAGTCTGGGTGAGAAGAGCCTTCGTGGTGTTTCCTTCTGAAGGAGCCTCCCTTTGAGCCGTCACTGTGGCTGTCTGACGGGGAAATCAACTGCAAGATGGAAACACATTTCACATAGATCAAGCAAACATGACATGGGCATAACAGCTAAACCACATACAATTTAGGACAATTGAGACTCTAAAATAAGCAGGTTTCTATTAGAACAATTAGAACAGTAACAAATGTAAAGTACCTCTCTGGCCGAAATAGCACCAGCTCCTTCAGAACCCGGAGACATACTGTCAAATGATAAGGAGGCTGTTTCGCTCCTGCAGAAGAATGGACAAGAAAAGACAGTGTTTTAGCACTGAAGCTTTTCCTAACCTCATTGACATTTTGACATGTTTTATAGCTCATATTATTAAACAAATCTAAGATATGCCAGAGAATAAGACATACAGGGGTTGTTTTTTCCTCATATCCTCCCTGTTTTGAGGAGCGGTAAGACTGATGCTGTCAGATATTTCTCCATCACTCCTCCTTCCCTTCCACTTCTCGGGCTTCTCCTTAATCGCCCCAGGGCGACGATGCAGGTTGACAGCTCCAGCACCTTCACCTAAACCGTTTCTTTCAGGCACGGGGTCGGAGAGCTGCAGGGATAATGTAGACGGACGAACAGGAGCAGGAGAGGCTTTTGTCTCCTTCTTCCCTCCTTTGTCCTCCTTCATCTTCCAGCCACAAATGTGTACTGGTCCAGCTCCTTGCTATCTGCCCGCTCTTTGAGCTTGGAGGCCTCCTGGCTTTTGCTTTTGGTCTGGGAGGTTTGATCCTTGGTGCTTGCTGAAGAGGAGGAGGCCCGTTCGGTTTCTCTCTGATTGTGCTCGAGCCCTCTTTGTCTCCTCTGCTCTCTCTTCTCCTGACTCCTGGATGAATTGCCCCTGTGGACAGCCGGAGGCTGTGTCCCCTTTTGTTCAGCATTGGGAGGTGTGGAGGTATCGCTCCGAGGCCTGTCGTCAGGCGACGTGAGTTTAAGTGCGTCAGAGGTGTCGCTATCAGAGGCAAGAGCTTGTTGTGAAGCTGACTGTTCTAGTGTTTCGTTCCTCAAATCCTCATCTTCCTCTTTTTCATCCAGCTGAGGTCCAGCCTCAGCCAGGGTACCGTTTGTCTCTGCATGTAATTCCTTATCCAGCTCTTCCTTCTTACCCTGTTCCTCCTCTGTGTTTGAGCTAGTATTAACCTCTCTGTCGTCCTCTATCTCATGGACAGAGACGTTTTCATCCAGCATCTCCTCTGTGACCAGCTCGATATCGGGATCCTCTCGGGTTTGAGGCTCACTCCCAGGTTTTTCCTCTGCTTCCTCTCTCTTTTCCAAAGCCTCCTGCGCTTTCCTGGTGGCCTCCTCTTCCTCTGCTTGTCTCCTGGCTTCCTCCTCTTCGGCCTTTCTTCTAGCTTCCTCCTCCATCCTCCTCCTTTCCTCCTCCTCCTCCTCCTCTACTTTTCTTCTGGCCTCCTCCTCTTCTTCCCTTCTCCTTCTTTCCTCTTCTTCTGCCCTTATTTGAGCTTCTATTTTCTCCTCACGCATGGACTGGCACCTGTAATACATAAACATAAATATGAGAGCTGATCAATATTTTGAAAATGTATTTACAGCATTGCATGTCATCTTCAGACTTGGTCGAGACAGGACGTTTTACCTTCTGCGTGCTGAGTGTCCTCTGACCAGGGCTTGTATTTTGGTGACACCCTGTCTTTGGAGCTTGTACTCTGTTCTCTGTCTGTGTCCTCTCCACAAAGCCTGGATCAGAGTGGCTGCCCATCGCCTTTTCTCTTCTTTGCAGTACCTGCGCCAAGAATGCTGAGCAGGAGGACAGGGAACAGGACAGGACATGACAGTATTAAACTACTAAATATAAAACACAACCAACACAAAGAAATCACTTTCATCACAGTACCAAAACAATTCTTGCGTTTACCTGAATCAAGATGGCTGCTTGTCTCATATCCAGAAAATCCTTTCTCAGCAGGTGAGCTCTGAACCAGCGCTGAAGGTAAATGATCTTGCGCATCACATCCTTGTGCAGCGTGTCCTGCAGCTGCTGCCGCTCCAGCTCCTTCAAGAACACCTGAATGAAGAAAACACACCACAATTTAAAGTGAAAGAACATATCAGGTGGTCAAGATCAAAGATTTATACTCCAGAGTTCAGATGCTGACCTTTGTTTTGCCAATCTGGAACGTGGTGGGGTCCAGGCCCATCTTTGTATCGAGCAGTGCTGAGATGTCCTCTTTAGAGGCAGCTGCATTTTTTGGCAGCAAAACCCTGAACTGCTCAATGAACTCCTGAAGGGACAATGATGACAACAATGATTCAAAATGAGCAGACTTCTGAAGAGATGACTTATGTGGTAGAGAGAAGTTGACAAAAACCGTTCTCACTTTTGTTTGGAGAAATGTTTCATGCCAGGCATTGGGCCTCTTTTAACATCAAAATATTAAACTTTAAGTGCCCGGTGTGACATATTGGTGTGGAATTAGCATGTGTAGTAACTTAATAGTACCTGGAATGTGTACTTGGCTCCATAGCCTGACCTCCTGATGCGAACAGTTTCCAGCATTCCTGTGTATCTCAGCTGCTGAACAACCAGAGCCTCATCCAGGTACATCTCCTTCTGCTCATACCCAAGGACACAATCATTCAAAATGCAATCTCAGCATTATTATGTCCTAAATTATTACGTAGCATTTTCATTTTGTCTCAATGTTCACACATAAATTCACTAACAGGATCTCAAAAATAAAAACCATGCAATGTGGTCCCCTGGGAGTATTTTTTCATCCCTGATTGTATGAATGTGAGGTTGTTTCACCCCTGCAGGCGCAGTATGGGTTATGTGTACAGCAAATGAGGTTTTAAAGGATTGCCTTTTTGATCAGGTTGACCTGACAACAACTGCCTGGAAATATTTGATCAGTTCTCTTTTTTATTTTTTTATTTGTGTGTTGGGATAGTGCTCTATCGATCTTCTTTGCTCTACATGTACATGCATAAGGTAAAAGTTTTGTTGATCCTCATTAAATCTAGCAAGTGCACTCATTGTAAATATATATTTTTAAAACAATGAAAATAAGTTTAATAAAAATCACACAAGATTTAAAGTAAGTTCAGAAATGGTTGCATTCTATCCTGTTTAACAAAAGCCAGTTCTTATCATGGAACAGAGCAAAGAGGAAAGTTTAAGAGGCACATCTGAAACAATATGTTATTATGTTAGATACATCTACATAGACCAAATATTTATTTCTCTTCTTTGAAGTTCAATTCAAGATTTATGAAAAAGACCAAATCCAAATATCCAAATAATCTTATGACATGACTAAAAATACAGGCTCCGTACCTTCTGAGCGTTAGAGCGAATACAACGAATGAAATAAGGCTCGGCTCTGTTCAGAGTCTCCAGGAGTTTTGTGAGGGATGTCTGTAGAAACAAAAAGGGCAGGGGTTCGTTGAATTTTCAGGGTTACTTGCTATATGGTGTGTTCTGGTTTCTATAGTATCAGGGCAGCGATGTTACCTGGAACTGGGCACTTATGCTTGGAGGCTTCTTCTTTTTGTGCAGGTGGAGCAGAGACTTGGTGGTGCGATCATGCAGAGTCAGGCTCACAATGAACTTCAGAGAACGGGAATCCAGCAAACTCTGCACAGCAGTGACACAGTAAATGAATGTTCTGCTTGCACTCATTACGACTGTAAAGAAAAGACTTTAGTCCAGTTAACCTGTGTGGTTACTCAGGTTTACCTTGGGGATGACCTGCCTCTGTTTTGTGTTCTTGTTTTTCCTGTGAAAAGGTGAGAAAGAAGAAGCAGGTTAAGTTTAAGGGACTGCAGCTTTAATGACCTGAGGCGCAAGGATGGAGCAAGTAGTTGATGGAGCGTGTGAGGCCGGGGTTAGTACAGACGGCTGACTCCTTCATGCGCTGTCAAACAGTGACAAAATAAAGGGTTGAACCTGGAAGACAGGATGAATGACAGGTGAGGATTAGGCATAATTGAGTGAGATGTTTAGGATTGCAGAGAGGAAGAGGAGGAGGATGGTGTTTTCCATAAAAGATGGGATGTAACTATAATATCCCAGCAGAGACTCACAATACTCAGACAAACATGCTCTTTTGCTTATCTCCACTACATGTGGAGCCCTATTCATGTCACATCTCTCTCTGACTACAGAAGTCTAACATGCTGCATGGCCACTGTGACAATTTAAAAAAAAAAAATGCTCCTAGAGATTTCTCATGCCAGCAAAGTCACCTAATGAGGTTCATGCAGCAAGTAATTCAACTTTTCTGCCTTAAAGAATAAAAAGATCATGTCAATAAATTGAGCAAAATGATAAAGTTCTGTTGATGAAACAGAGTTGTGTTTGACAAGAAAAAGTGGCCTTAAATATAATTTTATGAGCTGAATATGGTTTATTGATGTCGACTATATTAGGAGTATGTTGTGCCTGAGCCAACTATTCTAGACTGATCTGGAGAGGAGCTGATGCCGGTCTGTCTGCAGACTCACTGAAGGACGTGTCGAGGGAAGCTGAGGCGACCCCAGGACTGCAGCAGCTTGCGAGGGTCCTCACCATCCAGCTGCAAGTTCTTAATGGAGCTGATGATTTCTGCATGCATGTCTCTGATCACACCGCAGACACACACCCAGTGCGGTGAGTGAAAGAGAAGGGAAGTAAGAGGAGCCATTGGAGGGAGGGGGGTTGGTTGGTTGGAAAGAAACAACAAAAGGAGGAAGAGGAAGAAAAAAAAAACAAAACGTAAAGTTTCTTTAATGGAACACCAATGTTAGGACACCTTAGAAGAAAATAAACCACCACAGTTATTCAGGACAAAAATCACACACAAACATACACGCACCACAACATGGCTGGGGGCTGATATCAAGAGGAACTTCATGCTCTCCGCATCCTTGGAGAATAACATAAAAAATGTATTCTTCCACCATTCATGATTATGTATACCAAAACCACATGACACATTACACCACCCAACCATGCTGCCATGGCCTATTTCAAAACAGAAAATCACACACACACAAAAAGAGATTTTGGGGTCGTATTCACACCAAACTTCTTGCCGCTGTGACAGAAACATGCAGAGCTGAGCTGACAATCAGTGCAGTTGGCTGTCTGTTTCCATGCTGGGGTTTTGTGGCTGTAAAGTGTTACTGGTGAGGCTGTTGGATTTATAGTCCTTTTGTCTGGACTGGTGATACACTGCACACAAAGTCTGGTGAGGTTAATATGATAATGTTGGTATGTCCCGGGGCTAGTCCATGCATTTTCCTTTTCTATACTTACCATGAAAACTGAGGTCAGGCAGGGAAGGAATGGGCAACACATACAACAAATGACTCACTGTGAATCTGACAACTACACCTCTGTGTTTGTAGATCTGATACTGGCTGGAGGATTTCATTCTTATAAAATGCTAGGAGGTTGAATTCAGTTCAGACCCCTGCTGGTAAAAAAATAACCCTGATATTATAGACCCAAAAGTAGGAGGTATAAGGTCAAAGTTCAGAGGGCCCAACAATTCAAATATATTTATCATGGCTTGTGTCCATGTAGAGAAAGCTCTTTCAATTCTTTTGGTCTATTTGACTTGGGGCCTCTGTTGCTGTAAGAATACATGTGTGTTTCCAAAGCTCAACAGCTGATGTAAGTACCTCGGCCGGCTAATCACAGTAGGCCAGAACAAACACCTTCCTGTGCTCTATAGAAAGAATAATACATGTGAGAATGGTGAGAGATTACCACAGCTACATAAAAAGATGTGGATTACAGTGAGGTAAAGCAAGGTAAAGGGCAACTCTTTTTCACTGTGTTTTATTCTTGTACTGAACTTCCTCTGCTGCTTTTATTTTCAAGAAGCAGACTTTGAAACACTTGACAAGATGGAGCTTTTTGATTAAACTACTGGTATATTTAGATTCTATTTTAATCAAGCAAACTCAAAAAACGGAGCAAACCCATATCTATTACCCGAAAAAAAAAAAACACATTTCCTTCCTGCTTGGCCTCATGTCTTCATTCCTTTCTCCTGTTCACTTACTTCTTACTCTCATAGCTAGCAAAGATGTCTTCAAAGGCCTCTAGAGGGCGCTCTTCTGAGTGATCAAAGTAGAAATCGAGCATAGACGCTCGTCTGTGGAGGGGAGAGGGAGAGGAGAGAACCGCACACAAAGGCGTCACCAAGAGGTGGAGAGGATATGGGTGGATGAGATGAGGTGGAAGAGGATTCATTTCTGTCAAAAAGCTCACATTTTTTGTCATTATTTGAGGATTCAGATCAGATGAGTATCTCAGCTGAACAGAGTTTAGGTGACTGACACTCTCCTTCCTCATCTCACCCAGCACCACAAGATAAAAGTGGAGGTCCACAGTTCACCAACCATTTCAAACATTCCTTCACTTCAACAAGGAGCCTAAACAAGACATATGTTGCTCTGCAGTTTACGAGTGGAGGACATGTTGCAGCTTATGAAGGCTAATTAATATAACGGTCCTTCTTAAACAGTTCAGTCCGTGTTTCATGAAAGAATAGAAACATAGTTAAAAACAGAGTAAAAGGAAAGAGTCTGCCTTCACGTCCACTGGTCCTATGGCAGTGAGATTCTGGAAGTAAGACAGTTAAAAAACCAAAGACAATCCAATGAGACAGGTTTGATAGTGTTAAATGAAAGGATGTGCAATGACTTACTTATACATTCTGTCCACTGGAGCATTGGATCGCTGAAGCTCTCCTAAAGGAGTTCTTGAAATCGGACGGACAACACCTAAAACATAAACAGCATGAGTCAATAATATTAACTTTATTGATTCTTGTTAATCCACATTAACTGAAGCCTATGTCGATGGGCTGAGAGCTCAAAAATGGTCTGGAGGAGGATTGAGATCTGAACAGAAAATTACAAAATCTCCCAAAGCCTCACAAATTCCTCTGTGTGCTGACGAGAAAGGCTTCTTACAGAGCAGAGAAACTGCAAAGCATAATTCCGATAGTGTCAGCCCACCATCAAATACAAACAAGGATGCTAAGTAAGACTATCAAACGTGATTTTACCTCGGACATGATTACATAATTTCACTGATAATTTACCTGACGTCTTTGCAGCCCAGGTACGGCCGGAATCATTAAAAGCAGCAATTCCTCTGACGGTGGCGCGCAGGATGCCCCATCGAAACATGGCCACTGGGTCCATACCAATGAGCTGGCGCACAAATGCACGGTCGCTGCTCCGCAGCAACGCCACGATGTCTGGACGCATGTGGTCTGTGTTCTTCTCCCGAAAATCCTGTCAAGGTCAAATATATAGACAACTTTACACATTGCATCAGCAGGTCATATTAAAGAGTAAATAAATAAATGAATACAATCCCTTTTCTTTATTTGTCTGTCCTTACCTTGATTTGATATTTTACTTTCCCAGCAAAGTGTCGAATGACAAAGGCGGGCTCCATGACCGGTGTGGGGACAAAGTACATGTTGCCCTGGTGCTGCTGCTTGAATTTGGCTAATAATGTTTCATCTGTCGCATGGGGAAAGCTGAAGCACAGACAAAGAGGGAGAAAGCAAGAGGAGAGGAGGATTAATACAAAGAGGAGAGGAAAATATTATATGTGACAGAATAATAGACAGCTTCCAACAGTCAACCTCATTCTGACACCGACACAACATGAATGAAACAAAGTGTGGATTCTGTTTAGCTGTTCTTACTTGCTCTCCTCATCCAACAGGTAGAGCAGACCAGTTGGTTTCTTGCTGATGAGGTGGATGCAGCCCACGTTGTCAGTGTAGTCGATGTTGTGCCAGGTGATTCCCTCTGCTTGGTACTCCTCCTAAACATCCAGATGTCATCAGTTTTCCAATTTCACTTAATCCTACAGAATATATATCATTTTCTTTACATGGGGCGCCTGATCTGCCAACTGAGAACCATTCAACAAAGAATCCAATGAACCTCGTTTTTTTTACTGCTGTCTTCACTCTCAGAAGTATAAGATAAACTAACAAAGTCTCATGCAGCGTATTTTCCATTTAAAATGAGGGAATGCTGGGATGACTCATGGTTTAAGAAGTCACTACTATAAACACGGAGCAGAGCAGAGAGTTGGAAGTTTGAATCAAAGAAGATAACATCTTTTAACCATGTCTTGTGCAGTGTGTCCTGTAAGAAGGTTTTTGGGGTCAGGTTCACGTGAAACAAGAACACTGACCTGCTCCAGATTGAAGATGTGATGGTTGAAATAATATTGCAGCTGCTCATTTGCATAGTTGATGCAGAACTGCTCGAAGCTGTTGGTCTCAAAGTCCTCAAAGCCAAAAATGTCCAAAACACCAATGGACAAGCACTGGAAAACAAGAGTACAGACAACAAAAGAATGTGTGTTTAGGAGCAGGAAGGATACTTCTTTTTCTATTTGGAAAGCATTTCATGATGTGTTATATATGTGAGTGCATTCATCTCACTGGAACATGTTCCTCCATATCTTTCTTGTTAAGCAGAGCGTGATTGATGCGCAACACGATCCAGTCAAACAAGGCGCTGTACAGAGATTTGGCCATGGAGTCTCTGGCAGTGATAGCCTATAGGGTAGAAAGAGGGGAATGTGCATACTGTTAAAAAAAAAAAAAACATCAACACACAAAGTCCAACTGATGAGTTGCAAAACAATTGAAAACTCTGAGAGGAAGAGGTGAATTATTGTAGGTTTGATGTCGACAAAGAATTAGGAAAGAAAAGAAAAAAGCACTGGACTGTACTTTTGTAATGACAGGTTGAGAGGTAATGTCTTACCTCTGAGTGGCTGTAGGGGAGAATCAGCTTGTCATTGACTGTCACTGTTTTCCTCTTTGTCAGAGCCTCAACCAGCAGTTCCTCTTTAACCTAAAAAAAACAACCCACATAGGTTACTAGACAGGCTATATACAGAAAATCTGAAGTCGAAATGAATACATTTTTAGACCTTTATTCAAAACCCTCTTCATATATCTTAAGACTACACTGCATCTTCGACTTCTAACCGCTAAAATTAGTGACACAGTTCTGTGTTACTGATTGTAAGATAACAGTACAACTGAACAGTCTTAGTTTGTGATCACTTCTTATCATTGCGCCATAAATACGATTTCTGGGTGGGAACAAAGCAACAGAAAATTAGGTGAGTAACAAACCCAATGCAAAGTTTATTTAAAAAAAAACCTACTTAATTATAAAGAGTTTAAACTCTGAAAAACTAAGACTGCTCAATTTGGGATTTTGAACATCAGTATTCTTAGCACCAAATTACTTTTTTAAATTTAAGAGATAAACAGGGGTAACGTTGCCATGAGCAGAGGATGACAGTCTGTATGTGTTGATATATATGGCGCCTTCAGGATTTAATTTCATAGTATGCACAATAAGCATTCAAGTGCATGTTGACACTGGCCTTAAAAAATACCATCAGCTAACTATTGGGAACAATGTACTGTAGTGTAATGATATACCATTAAAGCTATTTCAGAGAAACATGAAGTAAAAGTCATTTTGAGCTTGAATCTATCCTGCCACATGTTTAGTTTGACAGAGTCATTTCCCCTTTTGAACTCATCAGAATTTAATAAAATGTCAGCTGGAGAAGGTAGTGCAGGCCTCACCCATGGCTCCAACTCATTCTCGTCCAACCACTTCTCAGAAAACGTGCATCTACCCATCATTAACACACACACACACACACACAGCACTCAATCGCATACAGTTAACTTGCTAGCTACAGCTATTTGAATTTCCCTCGGGGTCAATAAAGTATCTATCTATCTACCTACCTACCTACCTACCTACCTACAGGCACAGCGGAGCTTTGTGAGGAGGCATTGACAGGTCAGAGGGCCAGAACAAAAATCTGATCTGACAAGGTTCCATCAGAATCAGAATAATTAAAACTGAACAAAAAAACTTGACTCAGAAATAAATAAGCCTAAAATCTCTTAAATTATAATATAAATTGAAAACAAGCTATCAGCTTTAATTCCTTATAATTGTGCATTAAAGACTTTTTTAATACTTTTTAAAGGTTTGAATACTTTTGAAGACCCCATGGTCAACTCCTGACTTGCTCATCTCATAAGGAGTCCCTCAAAAACACAGGACATGTGCGTCACCTTTAGCAGGTCAGAGAGTGTGGCCAGGACCTCTGGTGGTCCCACATCCAACCCCTCATCTCTGCCTGTTGACTTTCTCCTGTAGGTCACGTTGCCCAGATACAAGATGGCAGAAAGCACAGAGAAGATCCTGTAACACAGTCGCAAAAATAGAATTCATTAAATGCAGCAATAAAAACAAGCTTCATGCAGTGGTAGGCTTAAAGCAAATACAAGAAAAGTGCTACATAAACTGTTGTATAAACATATCATTTGTTTATGTTAACAACTACAACCCTGAATAGCAGCATTGGTTTCACTGTATCTGCGTGCTGTCTCTAATAAACTGCCGTATTAGCCCATTTGAAAAATTTGCCCATTGTGATGTTTGTGCTTTTAAAAGTCTCTTTATTGTTATTTATATGTTGGTAACGTGACCCAGTGCTCAGAGCAAAATACTCCAGTGAAGACTCCACACACTATGCTAAACACGTACACAGATGCACTTACTGTTTCTTGGTGGCGGGGAGGAAGCCAACCATCTCCATTGCCTGCTGCAGCCTTTCAAAATCATGGCGCAGGTCTTCCTCATCTTCAATCTTAAAGTTTTGCTACAAGAAGAGAAAAGCAGTTTGTGGTGATTCAAGATGACGAGAAAAAGGACGCAAATTGGACATGCATGTAGGTGAGGAACAGAGGTTGAAAAAAAAAAAAATGGGAGAAAAGAGGGGGGGGGGAAGAGCAAGAAAGAGAACAAAGCCGGCTTCATTAATATGCAGGACACACGTGAGCAGTAAGCTGGGAGTGTATACAGCAGCTTATTCAGAGGCCTGACAGTCTGGATGAATGCAGAGTCCACCCATAAAGAGTAACAGTGTTACCTTAAAGGTCACACACAAGAAGCTGTCTTTGTCAAATGGAAAACACTTCAAACTGCTGGATTTGACGGGGACATCAAAGAGGTAATGTACCTGCTTGAGGTAGAAGTATTCTTCAGGTGGCAACAACTTGAACTCCTTCCTCTCTTCCTCTGAAGCTCCCAACAACAGGTAGTAAAACACGTGGTAGTTCCTGTTACAAAGTCAAAAAAGATTGTTCATTGAGCCCACACTAAAAGCACACTGTACCTACAGCAGGTTATTACTTTGACACAACTTTATCAAAAATGCTCTGCAGTGGGGTGATTTATTCCCATGTGTACATATCATGTGTTTGTTTAAGTATCTGGTGAGCTGTCATCAGCGCATAGGAGCTCCATATTTATGATCACAAATAGACAGAGTTTTAATAATAAACCAAAAGTCAACAAATTGTAAAAAAAAAAAAATATCATAGAAAGGAGGCAATTATGGGAGCTCAATGATGTTATTATCAGTTTTCCACTCCTGCTATCAGTGGTCAGGTAGGCAGAATGAGGTGAGCTTTGTTTTGAAAGTAAGTGAGAGTAATGAGTTTCCACACTTGACACTAAGGAACAATGACATCATACAGCAGACTCACTCCCTGACTAGACAGACATGATGCACTGTCAACAGCAACTGTGGGCCGAGTGATTAACGGTACGCCGTGCAGGCAGTTATTAACCTGAAGGTTACAAAGGCGTGCATGTCAATGGATACAGGAAAACCTCTGAAGGGGGGAAATGTGAGTGAGTAACGCTCTTCCCACTCACTATCAGCAACAGTAAGGCAATCAAAGGTTTCAGCTGAGGAGCTCAGTCAAAAGCTGTGGTTTACTAACCAACCCCCCAAGAGAGTGTACGTGCAATTTGTATCTGTTGGTATCTCAAATGGTAAAAGTGTTTTTTTTTTTTTTAAAAAGCCTTGTCATGGCTAACGCTTTGTTGTCACTAGTCAATAGGCAAACTACTCATCATAAAGTCAGTTTTTGTGAGAATTTCACTGATGTAATAGTTTAAACTCGGGTCAAAAAACATGACTTATCCTTAAGTGATATATGTCAAACTGAAACAAAATGACAGTAGAAGATTTGCTCAGTCTCCTTTACATCTGACTGTTATCTCAAAGCCCAGAATTACTGTTTGTATATTAGTCACTCGGGTAGCTACAGACTGGTAGTCTAGCTGGGGGTGAATGTTACAGTGAGTAACAAATGCTTGTTTGATGGGAAGGAGGTGACAAAGTGTACCGGGCTGTCACTCTTGGAACTGACACATGGGAACAGTTTTTTCTTCTTCTGATGTTAGTATAGTGACAGTTATCTTACACAAACAAGAGTCACTGAGAGTCACAATGAAATGAGGAACTCAACTGTGTTAGTCTGGTCTATCAGTGTCTATCTATCATGTAGGACACACAGCTAATTCTAGTATTAACATATGTGCATAATGAACCATTGAGTTGGATGATACCTGAGTGTGAATATGAGAATAGGTGTGTGTGTGTGTGTGCTTGTGGATGAGTGAGTGTTTAGGCAGAGGGACATCTAAAGTCAAAGACTGAAGCCCTCAGTTGAACTTCATATCCAACCATCAGAGGATCCTCATGTTTGTACAGAGGGCCCCATGAAGGTCGGTGGGGTCAAAGGGTCACGACCCCTCCTTTCCCTGCTCACCTCTCGTTCTTCTCTCTGGAGACCAGACGAGACTTCTCCAGGAGATACTTCTCCACCACAGCCCTTTAAGTCAGAGAGGGGGGTTAGAAGTGGACAAGAAAGAAAGGGGAAGAAGAAAAACAAAGAGGATGAATCACTTAACACTAAAGGTCACTCAGCCCTCAACTCTGTTTCTGTGTGTGTGTGTGTGTGTGTGTGGGGTAATATGTTAAAGTGGGCTGGTACTACAAAATGAGGGGAGGAGCAGGAGGGTAGGAACAATCACAGAATGAAAAAAGCATTAAAATCTGGACAGAAGGATCATAGCACATTTCACACGCCCACATAGCAACACACGTGAAACACATGAAAACATGGGAGCATAGCATACATGTAGCCTGGCAGAGGAGAGTAGAAGGCTGTATCAGGAGTAGAGGGATGCTTTCAAACCACTGCAGTCATGAGTTATGCACTTTTAAAAGCAGTGGTATCTACCCAATGCAACGGGCCAAGGCTATAAAGCAGTCCGAATCAGATTTTATAAGTCAGAGTTGTTTTTTTCTAAAGCCAGGCAGAAACAACACTTCACGCCAGTCTTCATGACACACTAAGAATAGAGCTCTGCTGTGAAAAGCACAGCTGTGTCAGTCTGCTCAAAGTAGAGTCACATCTAAGGACAGATACTGTTCAAAGTTCAAATGTTCAATGTATAGATCTGCTGGTTCCCTTTTCAACTTTTTGACCACATTACACACACAAATACTATTTGACTTTAACTTAAACAAGGATATGGAGGATATTATTTAATATATAGATATTATTTTAGGCAATGTTTAGAGCATTTTCTTTTTAAACAGGTTATTAAACAAATTGGATATAATAATTGTTTATGCCTGTTACTACTGCTTTGGGGTAAGTGCCAGAAGAAGTTAGTTACAGCACGCAGTAAAAACTGTGAATGATACCGTTGCTTGTTAAAAAACAGCAGGATCAGAGTGTCCTCAAAAAATAACACTTAAACATGTACAGGACAAGATCAGCAAAGAGATTAGATGTACTGCTTTATCCACAGGGGTTGACAAATTACGTGCAAAAAGAAAGTTCCTCGCAGGAACTTCCTTAAATCTGCAATTGAAAAACTTCAGAACTCCTTGTTATGTGTCACATAAAGATGTATCAGATGATTATTTAGTATGTATTGTTAAAAAGCAAATAATGCATACATCGTAAGGACTATCACTTGATACAATATGTGAATGTCATGGCTGAAATGAAAGTGCGACTGGGTTTCATATGGGCAGATCTAATGCAGAACGGTATAGCCTACATGTCTAAAGCAATGTCTGTTCCAAAAAGGTTCAAAGGAGTCGTATATCTTTCAACGTTCACCAGAGGGAAGAAAGAGAACACTCACAACAAATGAAAATTTCAAACAGGTTCGTGTTCAGACATATTTCATTAACACACCACCTCCTTTTAACAGCTTTTCTGAAGTGTGTGTTCCTTTTCATTATTCTGCTCTCTCACTCAGATCCAAGTGAGGAAAGGTAAGCAGGACAGAGACCCACAGAGGGAGAGAGAGAGGGGGGGAGAGAGAGAGAGAGAGAGCGAGAGCGAGAGCGAGAGAGAGAGAGAGAGAGAGAGAGAGAGAGAGAGAGAGAGAAAGAGTCCTGACAGTTAGTCAGTCTGCTCAGTAGAGAGCGGAACAGCAGCCTTCCCTTTGTTAATCTCTTCTATTGACTTGCTGCCACTGGAGATGCAGAGATAGACAGGCTGCCTTTGTTGGGACGACAGGGCAAAGCAGTGATGGTACTCAGAGTCCCGTTTTTTTAACGTTGTGAAGCTACACTGGACATAGGGTGATAAAAACTATGCTACCTGGTTGACATTATTCATCGTAAAAAAGCATTTCCTCCTCTAAGTGGGTTTACTTCATGTTGCAGAAAAGCAGCAGCCCACTGAAGGTAACTCTCCTGATTGGATTACAAACCCTTCTCAGAGTAAGCAATTCAATAAAGCATGATGAGACCTGGTGCCATTAGGGGATAATTAGGTTGGGGGGTGCTCATTTACTGTGGAGCTGTACAGCTGTCGCCACAGGCATTTACATGTTTTTTACTCTTACCATTTTGCATCCACTCCGCGATAAGATTTCTCATCCTGTTTTCCTTCAGTATGAATGTTGAACTCTTTGGAGCCCTTCACCTTTAAATCTACCATAACTATAACATAACAGCAGCTGTTCCTCTCCTGATGAGGAAATGAGGAAGTGACATGGCTCGCCAGACTTTGATGCAGCTCCTCACCAAAGTCTGACTGCTGAGAAAAGGGAAGGACATGCTGGTGGTTGAAAAGTTTCAGTGTTCACACACAAACCAACTATGCACACAAGAGGATCCACATGACCAGCCATGAAAGAGTAAAGGGGAAGATATTAGCTTTTTAAGAGGTACAGAAGCACGATGAACAACGACATAACAAGGATACAGAACACAAAAACAATCCTTGAGATGTCTCCCTTTGGTGTCACAATGCGGATAATAACAACTTAGCCCTTGACTTGACATCGTGTGAGACCATTTGAGACGTACACTGTAAATTACTCACCCTCTTACCACTCCACTCTCCAGGTAATTCACCTGGATGAATTTACCGAAGCGGCTAGAGTTGTTGTTGTGGGCTGTCTTGGCATTTCCAAAGGCCTGACAGAAACAGAAGAAGAAGACAGATATATAGAGTAAATTTCAGTGTATAAAATGAAATAAAAACAGGAGAAAAGAGTGACACCAAATCAAAGAAAATCTTCCCAAGACTGATGCATTTTCAGTGTTTTATTCCCCTCATCAAATGAAGACACTAGGTATCTGGACGAAAATTTCAAAGACCATTTAGACAACTATGGATCATTTAAATAGCACCAACCAGTAGCTTCCAAATGTTAAAATACATTACTCTTACTAGTTGTTGATGTCCTAAAACTCAACTCAGGCCCCTGTTAGATCTCAGACCCACACGTCTGTGGTATTGTATGAAACATTATCTGTAAGCAGCCTCACAAAGCAAACAATAACAAAACACCATGACAACAAAGACACTCATGTTTTTAAACAGCAGCTGAGAGTACAGCAGGGGGTAGGAAGGGGATGTGTGAGTGCCTACATGCTTGTGTGTTTTAATATGTCTACGGTCTAATGAGGGTGAGCATCTGCAGCTCGTCGTCCCCTCTTTACCCTCCTCTCACTCTATTCCCATCCATCTCTCTTTTTTTCCTTTCCTGCATTAAGACCCTTTTCTACCTCTTGTTCACTCTGTTTATGTCTGTGTGCAACGAAGAGAGGGGGAGAGGGAGAGAGAGAGAAAGCCAGAGAGAGTGAGAGAGAGAGGGAGAGTGCATAGGTCAGTGATGATAAATGAGCTTCAGACAGCCAATCTGTATGGCAGTGTCAACCCAGAAACAGAAAGGACCTGAGCTTCTCTTAAGTCTTGAGGCTAATGCTAACCAAGCCCCCAGTGCTCTCTCACAGGCTCTCTGTTCATTGCATTGATATGGCCACAGAATGGTGTTCTTTTTTTCTTCATGATGCACATGCTCACATGGTAACACACACACACACACTCCTCAAAAGGCCACCGCAGGGGAAGTTGACTCAGTGCATGTTAAATAGGAGCCACATTGTATCTCCCAAAGCAGTTCACGCTGAATTTGATACAGTGATGTTAGGGCTGATCAGTTAGACACACACACACACACACACACACACACACACACACACACACACACACACACACACACACACACACACACACACACACACACACACACACACACACACACACACACACACACACACACACACACACACACACACACACACACACACACACACACACACACACACACACACACACACACACACACACACACACACACACACACACACACACACACACACACACACACGGTCTGATTAAGATTTATAAGGATTAACTGTTGACCAATTTTTTAATTTCTATTGCAAAAGTAGACCTCACAGTCCTTATCCTTTCATGCTAATCTTTACTCTCTTTTTTAATTCCATTTTGAACAGTCATGCATCCTTTTCGTCGTGCAAAAACATTTCTACCCAAGTTGGGTTTTAAAATAGAATTGAGACCAGAGGGAAGTATGAGTTGTTGATGATGACAAAAGAGAATTCTCATTTGTCTGTTACTCATGACTGCAGTCATCCATTACCAACCAAACTTGGAGTTACCCGGACAAGACTCCTTCACTCATTGGGCTTTCTTTCTTTCTTTTGATGTGTGTATTTGTTCCAAAAAAAACACACACATCACATCACACTGCTATTTTTCTATTCAGGTGATCAGTTGTGTGTGCAGATTTAGTAAAAATCTTAAATGTATTTATTTAGGTGTAGCCTGTTTGAATCGCCATATCTTCTGCTCAACGTTTTAAGGGATCATTAAGTGTGTTTTGGCACAGATACTCCAAATTGTCCTAATGTGCCATGCTGCCTACTGAGCACAGTACTGTTCTGATCAACCCCCCCTCCCTCTACAAACCTAGCAGCCAAGCACTAAACCTTGGGATATCTCTGCAAAGCTCTGGCCACTGCGCCACGGAGGGAATGCTAAACATGTCACAGCATCTTTCGTACTCGAACTTGCCCATGAGCAGACAATCTGATTGGCTGGAAGGCCCAGCAGGTATGGGGAAGTAGGCAGACAGTGTGCCAAACCACGTTTTTCTAATCAGCATTCATACCAAATAGGGGTTTCTCTCTTGGAGTTCTTGGAAGAAAAACAAAGAAGGGAGAGTGAAAAGAAGAGGCACATACAGCAAGGGGGCTCAGCTACCTGCAGTGTGTGTATATCTGCATTTTGTGGGACGGCTTCCCTGGCAGCCTGGCTGCTCCCCATGTACATTTCCATTTAAACAGAGCCAGACCCACACATCTAAATCTCACATCCCTCTTCATACCCCTCACATACACACATACACCCTTGTCCTTACAAACCAAAGTGGGGGAGTGTCCCAAAATGTGTGCATTTTATGAGTTGTTTGTCTCAACAAGAAGCTGAAGCAAAGCTGAGAAAGCATAAATCATACATGATAAGAGACATTCAGTGTTAGGTTGAGTATATACTTTCACATACACAAACAAAGCAATCTCTGTGAGGAAGTGGTCTGATGTCGTATGCATGATAAGATGTTTGTAGAAAACAAACAAATACGCTTGTGACTCAAACAACTTTATTTGGCCAAATACAAACTTCCCCCAAGCTTTGCATAAAGCTCATGTGAAGTCAGTTTTTTTTTTTCAGCATTTTTGGCATAACTTTAACTTTCCTGCTGGTAGCAGAAGCCCCAATAGAAAATTAACTTAGTTGTCGGTAAAAACCTACAACTGGTGCTTGGGTACTTGTTATTGCTTGGACATTAAGGCACTGCTGCATTCTGCTTCAGTTAAACGTTTCCACAGATGCTGCCAAGGCTCTGACACTGACACCTCACTACAGTCTGGATACACTCACAAAAGGACCAACTGCCACAAAGACAGTTCCCACATTCTTGCAGGGCAACACAGGCAATAACAACAGTTATATTATTCATGTTCATAGATTCCAATAGGCCTTCACGACATGAGAAAAAATATGTAATGTGCAATAACATTGTCCAATATAGCAATATGAATCCGTTAATTAATCAAAATCAGAGAGTCAGTATTAGGGTTAAACTACGTTTCTGCCTATCTGCTGATCTCCATGTTTTAAAGAACACCTGTGTTTGGAATGTCTTTCTTCTAAATCCCAAATAAATTACATGTTTGTTTATCCACTACTTTGGCACTAATTAATCCGAGAGTAGCTGATAATTAGCTTTGCCTTTATCTGACTGCATCAAAATGCTTTGAAAGCATGGCCATCATACACATGCATCTGCACAATTGGTCAGATGATCTCATGCTGAGTGAGAAAGTGTTGTGCATTGTTGTTGTTTTTTATTTATTACAATAAATTAAGATTTCCGCTTTGTGTTTATTGTGAATGCTCATACAAAGATGACGAAAAAAAAATGTGATTAATTTCCCCAACCCTAAATTCTAACTATAAAATAATTGGTATCTGGCCAAAAAAAAACCCTATGATGCTCTGTGCCGTAATAATAACTGTTTAATGTGGTCCTGAATGTGAAAGATGGTTAATTAAGGACATTATATTTATTGGAAGTGATTGCATGCGTCCATATCTCTACACAGTTCCTCCTCTATTCTTGGCCTGGCTGCTATATCCCCACCACCAACACTTAAATCCCTCCAGCTAGTCCAGCTGAATTGTTAACAAAGAATTGATTATTTGAGGCACAATAAAGGCGTCAATAGCGCTCTAAGGCCCTGCTGCTTTGATTCAATGACTGTGAATGTCCCAATGAATGTAGTTATACTGAACCACGTCATGAGTTTACCGCTTAAAGGTCATAAACAAACAACATGGCAGTACTCTCTGTTTTATAGGAAATGACTTGCCATTCACTTAGTGTAGATGTGGTGGATGACACTTTACCACCGTAGACGATTTAAGGTTTTTAGGGATTTAAGGTTTAAGGGGAGGGATAAATTAGTAGTTTATCAGTAGTAAGTCAGCAAAAGCAGTAATTGCTTTAACAAATACTAAATCCCAAATTAGCTTATTCTAGTGTCACAAAAGTTGGATTTTCTGATTGTTTTTATTTTATATAGAATAACAGACAGAATATCTTTAGGCTTTGGACGGTTGGTTGGACTATGAAGCCATTATATTGGACATGGGAAACTTAAACAGACATTTCCCACTCTTTATAACCAGATAGTGATAGTGCTAATTAAGGTTTACTGCAGCCCTGGCTGTAGCATTGACAAACTTATATAAAGACCACAGTCAATTATGACAAATCATGGGACACAATTCATCTTATTATATCCTATTATTACATGGCAGCCACACAGCAGTACATCAGCAACAGTGGAAAACTAACTAACTCATGTCGGATGGCAGCATTGCGGAACCAAAGTGGTGGTGGGAGAAAACTCAAATTGTTTCAGTATGCAAAGGGTGATAAAAATAGCTGATTGATATTATTAGGCTAGAAAGCAAATCAGACACCACCATGAACATAGTTTGAGCTAAATGCCATGTTGTTTCCACGTGAGGGGTAAACAGCTTGTTTTGAACACTCATGGAAAACTCTAAAACTATATATAAATTCATCACAATTAAACAAGACATCAAAGACAAATGAAACAAATGGAAACTATCTGTATCTAAATTTCAATTTCATTAAATCACAAAGGTTAATATATTAAAAGGGCAATATCTAAAAGTACTTGCAGTCACACAGAAAGCAATAACTAAGTCTACAAACAATAAGGGCTTCCAAGAACACAACAAACCCATGCGTTTATGAGGAGGTCATACTATACTGGACTGATCATGATCCGTGTTGAGCACAGAGCTTTTTCTCAAGATTTATTCATTTTGTGCAGGAAATCAATGCTCATCACGAAGGCTTGCTAAGTCTGAACATCACGGACCTAAAAGACATTTTAACATCAAGAGCGCAGTCAGCGCACCCTTGGTGGACTCCAGCAAAACATATTTATTGCAATATGCTATGGCAACAGGAACTATGCAACGGTCCTTCAATGCAGTCAGCCAAACTATA